TGGGGTTCATTAATGGACACTGTGCGGATAGAGACTCTTAGGTGGTACACTTCCATGTCATAAGTGGTCAAGCATGTTTTTTTTATCGTATTTTATTGTGTGTATTTATGTATGTGTATATATCTTATTTTGTATATGGATATTTTTTCCCCCCAGATTAGCGCTATATTGAATAAGGCTATAAGGGTTGGACTTATACTTATTATCAGGCTTGTTGGCCGGATCACCAGATAAAAATAGAAGAAAGAAAACCTACAAAAGGAAACTAATACAGCCATCACATCTAAGAATTGGTAAGCTGCCTAACATTTACATAATAAATGTTTACTTTGAGTTTTTATTTCTTCTTTAAAGCAGACTCATGGCTACTCTTTTCGCTGACACAGAGGGGGGCACTTTTCATCCCACTGACACCACCAAAAGAGAGCAATTCTTCATCTAACAGTCACCAAAAGCACTTTTTATCCCACCAGTGAGAGGGAAACTTTTCATTCCACTCACACCAACAAGTGGCACACTCCTCATCTCACTGACCCACTTTAAGGGGCACTTCAAATTCCACTGACACCAATGAAGGGGGTACTCTTTATCCCACTAACACACCAGTGAGGAGGCACTCCTAACCCCACTGACACTAGCAAGGGGGCACTCAAATCATTGAGGGAGAGCTCTTCATCCTACCCACACTGACAACAGGTATACTTTTTGTCCTACTCACACCAGCAAGAGGGACACTCCTCATCCCACTGATATTAATGAGGGGGCATTCTTCCTACCACTCACACCAATAAAGGAGGCATTATTACCATTCACACCAATAATGGGGTAACCTTCTTTCCATTCACACCAACAGGGAGGGTACACTTTATCCCACTGAAACCATGGAGGAGGGCACTCCTAATCCCACGGACACCAATGAGGGGGGCACTCTTCATCCAACAAACACCAATGAGCGGGGCACTCTTCATCCCATGCACATCACTAAGGGGGGCACTCTTCATCCCATGCACACCAATGAGGGGGGCACTCTTCATCTCACTAACACCAATAGGGGGCACTCCTCATCCCACTGACAGCAATGAGGAGGCAACTCTTAATCACACTGACACCACTGAGGGGATATTCTGGGGCTACATGTTACATATTCCTGTGCTGTACAGTACATACTCCTTTAAAAAAAAACACACCCTTCAGTCAAATGAAGTACACCTACAATATGCTATGCGCACCAATTCATTATCACCCTATAAAGGTTTGGCCTTGGTGGACATCTTTTTGCAGATAGTAGATGCATTAGGACCTTATTGTGAAGAAGTAGCTAAAAATAAAAATTGTACAAGATTGTGGAAATTAAGTTGAGGTTATAGGAGCTACAGAGCCCCCCGGCTATTATACACTGATCACAGAGGTACTAGATTATGTTTAGTTTACTGCTGCAGGGACTGTTGTGCAGAAGGGAGATTTACACCATTTTTTTAATAATAAATGTGAGCTTAACCTATAGATATTTATTACTTTGCTTATTTATTTATTTATTATTTATTTGCAGAACATGCTTGACAAGATGTTTTCAGTAACCACACTTTTGTTGGTCTGTGGAATTCTCTTTGGCCTGCCTCAATACGGAGGTGCAGAGACCTGGGCCAGGTTTCAACAAAAGCATATCACCAGTGCCTCTTATACTGGAATTCAACTGCAGCAGAGCCATGAACGATCCTATATTTATTGTAGGTGGGCAATGCAAGGACTTCAATACCTTCATCCATGCAGTCGCTGGAAGAGTCAAGGAGATCTGCAGAGGTGTCAAGGGTACAACGAATAAATCCAGTCCAAATGCATATGACCTAACTGAGTGCAGAAAAGCTACCAGGTGCAACTATAACGGACGTTATGAACAGAGTAAAATATGTGTAACCTGCCAAAATAGTGTGCCTGTTCATTTCGTCCGTAGAGGAACCTGCTAATAAACGTTTGTCATAAGTTTACAAAAAGCATATAATGCAGTAAAGCAGAAAGAAACAATACAGAGTAATTTTGCTACTAACACTCTCCCCTTAACATATCTCTAAGTGTTTCAGAGGGTCAAATGTATAATCACATGACATTCTGCTCAATAAAGTAGCCTTAAACTTCTTTCATATAGTTTTTTTTGTGTTATCTGCTGCTTAAATCCAAGCACACTTATTAAATAGAAAGAAATATATATTTCTCTACTCAATGAAGAGTTCTTGAAACCTGCTGTAACCCATGGCAACCAATCAGAATCCTTGTACTGCTCTGACTTGAAGTGTTAATAAACCCAGGACCCTGCGTTCATTATATCTGATCTCTCGCAGTACACAGAACATGGAAATGCAATTATTTTTGTAAATATAAACTGCTAAATACCTTTTCTCATCAGCAGTTAGAGCAGTCTTGTGACTTCTATCAGTGTTCAGCAGAGCCCTAGTTAAAGCTTGTAGGAGGAGTTTCCTTTCTGTTCTAGGAGGATGCAGAACCCTTGACCTCTGTCTGTACAGTGCTGATTGGCCCTGTGCTGATCACATGCACTTTCCCAAGAACAAAAAAAAAAATCTCTAGCAATACACACCAAACTGAGCATGTGTGGAGTGTCTCTCTACACGATATGTCATATCAGGAGATAAGAGGGGGACACTGGAAAAAGGAGGATCAGAGAAGTCAGGATGAAACACCATTTTTACACAATGCAGAGGATTAACCCCTTAGGTTCCACAGTGAGTATAACAAGCATACTTTACTGCATATACAGACTGATTTTACTGTTGTGGGTTTAGTAACACTTCAATCACAATTAATTCTGATAGGATACGTGGTTAATCCAGACCTGGCAGCACAGCTTTAGCTTTCCTTTATCTCCCCTGCTGCTCCATTCACTTGCTAGGAGCATAGAAAAAAATATGCCACTTCCAGATATAGGGAGGCATGTGACTCACACTCCTTCCTCCAATTTACTGTGACAATGCTTTGCAAACAGTTGCTTAGATAACCAGAGATGTCACATGGTGATAGGAAATGCTTCATCCACCCTGTGTAAGCTCCAGATGTCTTCCTCTCTCCACCCACAGGCAGACATAATGAGGGGGCAAAGGGAAGGTGAGCATGTGCAGCTGGTGGGGCCACCATTAAAGTAAACTTGTTGCTTTTCCCTGCATGGGCAAATCACAGGTTTACTTTAAGAATAAGAATTTTATTCAAAAGACAGTTTATTTATTTCAAGTACTTATATAGTGCCGTCAATTTACTCAGCGCTTTACATATATTTTGTACGTTCACATCAGTCCCTAACTCTCAAGGGGTGTACAATCTAAGGTCCCTAACTTACATTCATACATACACATACTAGGGATAATTTAGACAGGATCCAATTAACATCCCAGCATGTCTTTGGAGTGTGGGAGGAAACTGGAGTACCTGGAGAAAACCCACGCAGGCACAGGGAGAACATGCAAACTCCAGGCAGGTGGTGCCATGGTTGGAATTCGAACCAACGACCCTAGTACTGCCAGATGGAAGTTCTAACCATTTAGCCACTGTGCTGCCAAGTATATCCTATTTATAAAAAATAGCACAGGTACAACCGATAACAGCAACGTTAGTCTAATCCCAGTAAACAGTTAACTTTAGTACTTCCTGACTCAAAGACCTGTAACAAGCATTCAGAACAGGAGAGTCAGAAATCTTGATCTCTACACGTGTTTAAGGTCTGGAACTCAACATACGAAAGCCAAGGGGTCTGCCAGGCATCTCCTTAGAATGTCACACTTCTGGCAGTGTTGAATACCTGTGTTCCTGTGGTTTATTTTCTCTAAACCTGCCTTACTACAGATCCTCTCATATTTGGTTCTCCATTCCACTTTCCTTTTTTCTTCCCCTCACAATCTCCTGAATCGCCGAAATGGCACCTAGATGACATTCCAGTGTATTCACATTTCAAAATTAAAATTCTGACCCACATTGTCCTGTACAACACAATGGGCTCATTTACTAAAATAGGAGAGTGCAAAATCTGGTGCAGCTGTGCATGGTAGCCAATCAGCTTCTAACTTCAGCTTGTTCAAATAAGCTTGTTCAAAAAAGAAAAAGAAAACTAAAGATGATTGGTTCCTATGCGAGGCTGCACCAGATTTTGTTCTCTCCAGATTTAGTAATTCAGCCCCTGTAGGTCACCCTCGGGGGTCAGCTGTACCACTCATGGAATTCTTTTGCACTGGATATAAATCCTGTATACAATGATGTTGAGCTGGGACACAGTGTTTTATGGCTCCGTACGAATATGTTCCTGCATTGTTATATGGAGTTCATCATTCACTGACTCCTACTGCTAATATTAATTTGTGAAGATCAACCCCCGTGGTATCACCAAACCAGTGCTGCCACTCAATGTCCCTAATCCACACCAGTCAGTGTCTCCAATCACCGACACCCACCCATAGTGTCTCTAATCATCACCACACCACTCACAGTGTCCCTGATCACTGCCACGCCAATCATATTGTCCCTGATCACCAGCACAACAGTCATATTGTCCCCAATCACCACCACACCAATCAAATTCTCCCTGATCACCAGCACAACAGTCATATTGTCCCTGATCACCAGCACAACAGTCATATTGTCCCCAATCACCACCACACCAATCAAATTCTCCCTGATCACCAGCACAACAGTCATATTGTCCCTGATCACCACCACACCAATCAAATTCTCCCAGATCACCAGCACAACAGTCATATTGACCATGATCATCAGTACAACAGTCATATTGTCCCTGATCACCGCCACACAAGTCATATTGTCCCTGATCACTGCCACACCAGTTAAATTCTCCCTAATCTCCATCACAGCAGATACAGTGTCCCAGGTCACTACCACACCAATTGCACCATCTCAACATATGAGCGGGGCTTGATGCACTGTGGCAGGGACACTCAACAGCAATAAATGATAAATGATTTAAATGATAGGCAGAAGTGTGCAGTCATGTGGAATCAACATTAAGGAACAACTTATAAGCGAGTGCTACTTTCATGGTTTACACTCTTACTCTGTGGTTATTGACACTTAAATATTCCTGACGCTCCTTCTGTTAGAGGACATCACTTCCCAGTTGTGCAGCATTTAGGTACCAGTACCGCAGAGCCTGTACTTGTCTCCAATAGTCCAGGAATATGTTACCCCTCTCCCACTGACTAATCCCAAGGGCTGGGACAGTGATAATAATGGGGGATTTTACCTGCCCTGAAATTAATTGGAGTATTGGCACTGCTGGAACAGTTAAAAGGCACACATTTATAAACCTATTACAAGACAATTTTATGATACAGTTCATAGAGGCCCCAAATAGAAATCATGCTCTGCTGGACCTGGTAATCTCAAACCATGGAGAGCTTCTTACGAATGTTCATATAAAAGAACATCTGAGTAGCAGTGACCATAACATGATTTCATTTATTGTTGGTTGTAAACAACAAACACATACTGGAAAGATAAAAACACTTAACTTTAAAACAGTAAATTTACCAAACCTGAGGGTTGCTTTCCTAGACTTAGGTTGGGAGGGAATACTGTACTGTCATCAAAGAACACAGAACAGAAATGGGAATTCTTCAAAAGGACCGTATGTGAGCACACTGCAAAATATATTCCCATTGGCAATAAGTATAAAAGGCTAAAAATAAAACCTATGTGGCTCACATCCAAAGTTAAAAAAGGTATAAATAATAAGAAAGGAGCTCTTTAGAAATATAAAAATGAAGGATCACTATCATCATTTAAGTGTTACAAAGAATATAATAGAATATGTAAAAATGAAATCAAGGATACAAAAATTCAAAATGAACGACACACTGCAAAACAAAGTAGAACAAACCCCCCAAAAATTTTCAAATATATTAATAGTAAAAAGGTCAGATCTCAGCAAGTAGGTCCTTTACAAAATAATCTACAGTGGGTGATTGGGGACAAAGAGCAGGCAAATTTATTAAATATCTTCTTCAGCTCTGTGTATACAAAGAAGCATGGGGAGTTCATGCCCATAATGCGGATGATATTGACACAACCCCAAAATGGTCCACAATGGACAATTTAGACACAATAAAGATGAATAAAGCACCTGGACAAGATGGCATACACCCACGGATCCTAAAAGAATTTAACTCTGTCATTTTAAAGCCATTGTTTCTAATATTTAAAGACTCTTTACTTGCTTCCCTCCTGGCCATTGCACTTAAATGGCCAGGTGGGAGCTTTGCTGTTCTGAGGGGATGTTCCTGTACATCTCTCTCAAGTTTTACATTTCCATGGGCACGCTATATACCCCTAGACCCCATCCAAGTTGTTAACCGATTAATAAACACAACTAAAAACCAGCTCAAAGACTGTTTACTGACTCTGAATGTACAAGTATGGAAAATGTGTGTTGCCTGGCCATACAGAGCTTAGGGGGACCCAACCAAAATCCAGCCGCCCTCAAGAGGGTAGTGCTATTCTAGCAATGCAGCATTCATTTGGATACAAAACATCTTTAAATTTAGCTCACCCAACTTCCACTGTCTGATTGAAAACACCGACACTGTGTGGGTGCCTTGGGGAAACTCTTCTGACACCGCTGTCCATTTCACATGGACCCAGTGGACCCCAGACAAGGCTTTTAGCCATGATAAAAGCCGCCCCGAGGACCAGAAGCGGGGCTTCCTGGATTATGGGTCATTTAGCCAGTACAACAGGGACAGCGTCCAGCTGAAACCCACACACAAAGAAGGACAACCAGTCCTTTAGACCAGCTAGGTAGAGGAGCACGCCTAGGTCCTGCACATAGCAGCAAAAAAGAGGCACACAGAGGATGCAGGTGAACACAGTCCGTTCTAGAGAGAGAAGAAAGCAGATCTATGTGAGTAGCACTGACACCTAAAACACATAATTAGGCACATTTTAAACCCTGATC